TCACAAGATTATTTTTATTACGTTCGTTCCATCCACCCATTTCTAGATCTTGTTTGTGTCTCGTTTCTCTCTCAAGAGCTTGAAGTCTGTAGAATTCATTTATTTCAAATTCATATTTTGGCGATGTAATACCAAAGAAACTGGCCAACCATTCACCAACATAATCACAACCATCTAGTACCCTAGTACCGAACCATGTTGTCTGATACCAAGCCCAAGGACCCCAGTCAAGGCTCTTCTGCAAGTTTCAAATATTTAGCTTGGTAATGGATTTCCTTTAGGATCAGACTTAATCGTTAAAAACAAAACTCAACTGGATCTATTTGCGTTATCGCTGTGACTTCTTCCGAAGAGTCCGTTTCGTCCTCCGAATATTCTACTAGATCGCCGTCCGAAAAGTGTAAGACCCGTTTTGGAAGTTTCTTCGGTTTCAGATCCTAGAAACATTTCGGATATCTATAAATAATAGCAATTTTATAATGCACACCTTCGAATCACGTACCTCCGTTTCGATATTACTGTTTTCATTTAAAGTAACATCGGACAGATCGCAAACATCTGCCTTTGCCGGCCCCATGGTCGAATTTTACGTCCAATGCTCTACAGAAAATTGTTTACAAAGACTTTGACAGATGTCATCTGTCACCAAAGCAGAACAAGAGAAATTTGATCGCTGTAGATCACGGTGTATGATAATAGGTGTTTTACTTGTAAATCGCCTTGCGATTTTATTCTACATAACTTCGGTGACGGTAGCGCCTCTTGCGGGGAATAAACGAAGCTTAGTTCGAGGTCCGTTCAGCGCCAATTAGTCCGGTGGCGAAACGCTCAAACTGTTAGCCGGATTACCAACTGTCGAATTCGGCTAACAGTTTGAGCGTTTTGCCACGGGACTAATTGGCGCTGAACGGACCTCGAACTAAGCTTCAGTTTTTCTCCACAAGAGGCGCCACTGTCGCCCGCATATATAGAATGTGCAGGGTGATATCAAAAATACTAATTATTGCCAAATTAGATGATTAAATGTATAATATATAACTCAACGAGTACAATAATCGTTCATGTTTATTTTCAAGAGAAAAAACAACATTTCCAGCCTGCGTATTTGCAGCTAAAAATATTATTCACTCTGCATGTACGACGTAAATTTAAAAATTACTTTTTAAATCGAACACTTATTTAATTACACATTTTTAACGAAGAATGACCGACGCATTGTATCGCATTACATTCTGTATACGTACGGTTATTCACTAAATTATAAACGAATGTAAAATTGCAATTATTTACTCCGTTGGTAAGTTACTTAAAATGTTCTTACTATCGATGCATGTTAAAATTGCATTGCAATTTTTGCCTGTTAAATAGTAGCTCGTTGTTCGAGCATAACGCAAGCGATTAAACATCCAATTCCTAATAATAATAATAATAATAATATCGTTATAAATAATAAAAAAAAAATAGGCGAACAAGATGATGCACAATTCATCGGAAAGTAAGGCGTGAATATCTGCGGTTTCCACATTGTTCGCTTTAATCCGTTTTCATACGGATCAACCAAGTGCAGCAGCACGATCGACGACTGCGATTGAACAGCAGGGGAAAAAAATGAACGCGAGAGACCGAAAATGGAATAAAGTGTTAAAATGTCAAACGAACGGCAAGGATACGATGGAAAGTCGGCGGTGGTTCATCGATAAGAGAATAGGTGGTAACCGGCTGCGTTTCGTGCGTTCATTGTCAGTGCTAGAAGGAATGACGGCTCGAGGCTGAGGTTTGCGCCTGGTCACCGTGGTGACGGCTGCTCGATCGTGACATTTCACGCATTTCTTCGGGTTCACATAAAAGTGCAGCTGCGCACATGCCGCCCGAGTGACCATCTGCTTTTATTCACAAAATTTGTGATGTCACAAACGCTCGCCTGTCTACGGTATTTCCTCATCGGTGGTGCCATTATCCTCGGAGTAAGTGCATACGTTTAACGCGAACGTTTCATCGTTGCGTGTTTACACGGACGACGCATTGTGATCCCGCTTCGCTGTCGCGAAACTTCCATCTCGTTCGCGATTTAATGCGTCGCAAACCGTAATTGCTGAAAGAACAAAATATTCTTCTTCACGGCTCGGTTCCTTGACGTTGTTCTATTATTAAGAGTACGCCAGTCAGTGACCAGTTTCCGATTTGTCGTGAAATTGGACGCCCGCCAACTTGCCGTGCTGCGACAACGTTGTGCTTTCAGCAACCACGGTGTTCCGGTTTTTGAATAATTTTTAACCGCTGGCCTTTTCGCGACGTTACCGTTTTTATTTGTAATTTGAAACTTCTCCTTTTTCCCTTTGTTTTTAAACAATTCTTTCCTTCATCGTTTGAACGACAAACGCTTCTATTTTTGCGTTACGAAAATTCTTCGAGACGGAACACCGTCGACGATTGTTATCGTTTCAGATGTTTGACGAAATGTGCGAAATCGATGACCAGTGGATTCGATTGTTCATAGCGTAAATAATAGAATTTTAATTAATAATAATAGTAATTAATAATAATTGAATTTTAATTAATAATAATAGTACTTAATAGTAATTAATAATAATAGTACATCCGTGGACAATTTTCAGTACATTTTGTTAGCATTATGGCTTATATAAGAGATCCTAACGGCGATCGGGAAGAATTTCTGTTGCCGCAGATAAGTCTGTTATCGTGTACCTTTTATATTGGTACTATAACGCGTACAGATATCAATTACTTACACAATCTCGTCTATGATGTTGACATTACGATTGTACAGTGTATATGGATGGGTACATGGTTCGCGGTATTCAATGCAATATTCGCTTGATTCAATAGTTCACAGTGTAATTTACTCTGTCGAGTTAAGTAATTTATAAAATTCTTCATCGGCCACGATTTAGTAATTTACAAAATTCTTTATTGACCACGATTTAGTAATTTACAAAATTCTTTATTGGCCACGATTTAGTAATTTACAAAATTCTTTATTGGCCACGATTTAGTAATTTACAAAATTCTTTATTGGCCACGATTTAGTAATTTACAAAATTCTTTATTGGCCACGATTTAGTAATTTATAAAATTCTTTATACGATTTCATGATTTTGTAATCGCGACAACTTATAATTCCGATGGTTAATCGATACAAAAGCTAAGAAAACACGTTTCGAAAAGGTCGCGCCATCTTCAAATTCAAAGCTATACATACATAGTTCTATCCGGTACACAGAAGGCGGAGATTAGATAAATAATGAATCATCGCTTATCAAACCTCGGCGTGCGACGCCGTCGTTGAAATAAAATTACAAGAAATGTTTTCTTTTTTTCTTGCAGATATGCGGCATCATAGAATCCATTTGCGCCGGCTATTTCATGTATCAACTGTATGAATATTCGGTTCTCACCCCGAACGATGTGTGCGGTCCAACGATTATGCTATTAGCGTCAGGTCTGATTATGAGCCTGATCGCATGGTGCGCATGGCAATTCATAACCTTTGCCGAAACGGGACAAATAATAATTGTAAGCAATTGTGTTCCTACGTTTAATATCGGTCAGTTTATTATTTTTACTGTACGTAAAAATAATAAAATGAACATATAATAATTATTATTATATATAATACAAATATATAGTAATAAAAATAATAAGTGGAATACCGACAAACCGGTAGAATAATTTTTCTAAATCTACTTTCGATAACGTCGATGATCCTATTTATTTATATATAATTGAATGGGATTATATATAATTAACTGGAATACCGACAAATCGCTAGAATAATTTTTCTAAATCTACTTTCGATAACGTCGATGATCCTATTTATTTATATATAATTGAATGGGATTATATATAATTAACTGGAATACCGACAAACCGGTAGAATAATTTTTCTAAATCTACTTTCGATAACGTCGATGATCGTATTTATTTATACATAATTGAATGGATTAGAATCGCAGCGGCGTAAGACACATTTCTCAAACATTTTAACGTACGTTGTAAAATTCAATAAATGAGAAAATTACCACAGATCAACCATACTCTAAATTTAGTCGGTAAACAACGACCCTCCTTGTTTCACAGAATCTGGAAAATGTGATTCTAATCCGCTCGCTTCGCGATCTAGTTTCTTTCCTTATCTCGCGACGATAACGAAAGCGTACTCTCAATTTTGCAATACAGTTTTCTTTAGCGCTAACAATTCTCACGATTCTTAATACGTCTGCCGGGATCTGGGCGCTCGTCAGACACGAACAAATGGATGTGTTACCACGCACGCAACTAGAACAGGTGTTCGATCTCGCAGTTTCCGACGATAAGTCGCTATGGGACGCTATGCACTCCAAGGTAAATAATACCAAACTTTTTGCGAGCCTGCAGAAATCTGTCGGACGTCGCGATGTTTCACTCGACATTTCACGATTTTCAGCTACATTGTTGCGGGGTAAACGGAGCCGAGGATTATCGGGGCCAGGATGCAATCCCTTGGTCCTGCTGCAACACCGAGACGCCTGAAAGTTCGAGCGGTGCATGCACCCTTTACGCAAGGGGCTGTCACCACGTCGTGATCAATCGCACCAGATCGACCCTGCTTCATATTTTTCTACTCGCTTTGTGTACAGTATTGTTGCAGGCAAGTAGCAATATAATATCAACGCTTCGGTTTCACGCGTTCGGCACGACTGTAACTGAAACTGATATTTCAATATCGTTTTTTTTTTTAGGTTTGCTTCATAATGTGCATGACCTGTTACGCGAGAGCTTGCAGAGACAGGGCGAAACGAAACAAAGACGTAAGGATCGCCACGCAAGCGCTCACGCAAGAATCCAAGAGGAGGGAGACAAGCGAACGTTTTCTCAACGCTTGATTACAAAATACCAAAGCGACGGCCGGCGTTTGACGAACGATTTTTTTTGAAGAAGTTTTACCTTATTTTAGAGCGTTTTCGTCGATCTTCCAGTCTTCTTAGTCGCGGATCAACGCCGGCCGCGTCGATTTCGTTCGTTAACAGAAACGTTTACGGAACACTTTGCATGTAAATTCGAAACGCCAGAGATATTGTGCCATCGTGATTTTCATACCAAATAGATTTGTAAAGTTCCTCGATTTAAACGTAAGCAATAAACCAGTGACTTTTATTGTTAGCTCTTGTCTGTTTTCGCGGCGATCTCAAGTTACGTCGAAACTCGCAATTCCTATTACACCCACGTTTATCTCCGGGTGTATTGTCGTATAGAACGTGTAACGGCATTTAAGTTGTATTTGTCGCTACAAGGAGAAGTCATTCTTTGCTAATCTATACACGTTTCTACGATTTTATCCGACGCTAAATAAATATTTGCAATTTCGCCCATTTCCCGTTCTCTACACGTTCTTCGCTCTTTGTTGAATCATATCGAAGTGTTTGCAAAAGATTATCCTTCGGCACGCGACACGTTCGAATTCCTTAAAAGTGAAATATCGATCTTCGGTTTCCGAGATCCACGGCAACCTGTGCGAATCTGTATTTTTAAATCGAAAAACTTCGTCATGCTGCGATGATGTCACGGGTCAATCTCAGCCACTCTCGGTTGCATAAAAATGACTGTACCTTATTCGTACATTCGAACACGGCGACAGCAGGAAAGCCTGGAACTGTTGATCTCTCGTTCACAACAGTAAGATAAGCGAATCACAAATAAATTCACATCCTAAATTATGTTCCACGGTAATAATTCGAAATCGTGTACTCGCTGCGATTGTTTGTCACGCGATTGTTTGTCGTCACAGAAGAGCGATGAGTCACCTGTTAATAGGAGACTAAATCCGTTAACTGATTGATGGATGTATGCACCTATCGCTGCGGTCACCGATGACCGCGATTAAATGACAGAAGCGAACAGCTGAACTTCGCGATTTAATTACGGCAACAATGCAAGTTGATCAATTGCATCGGTGCCCTTTGAGATCTGGGAAGTGGGATCTACGGCTCGAGATTCGTCGAGCATATACATTCTTCGATACGAACGACATCGAAGTCGATTAACACTAAACTTACCGCGGTCAAAGTGACCGCTTTCTCTTATTTTGCAATTCTGAAAAGTTCCGAGACTCTTTCGTGGAGAACGCTTGAATAAGTTAATATTGTTGGAGCGAGCTTTATAATAAAAACTTTACAAATTCTAAGTAAATTCGGTCTTCTCACTTTTGTGAGGCAGTACATGCCAGTTGGTGTTACTGCTTGGTAGGTTTAGTGTTAAAATTGAAAAATTGGAGGATTGAGAAATTGATGAATTGAGAAATTGAAGAATTGAGAAATTAAAGAATTGAAAAATTGAAGAATTGAGAAACTAAAGAATTGAGAAATTAAAGAATTGAGAAATTGAAGAATTGAGAAATTAAAAAATTGAGAAATTGAAGAATTGAGAAATTGAAAAATTGAGAAACTAAAGAATTGAGAAATTGAAGAATTGAGAAATTGAAGAATTGAGAAATTGAAAAATCGAAAAATTGAGAAATTGAAGAATTGAAAAATTGAAGAATTGAAAAATAGAAAAATTGGAAAATTGAAAAATCTAAGGATCTCCGTCGCGTAAGCTCATTCACTTCAGGTTTGTACCAGTATCTTCTACGTGTAGTAAATACGAGGCGGTGAACGTGCAACACCTTTCGGCCCGAGTTCCCGGAACGTCTTTATACCGCGTGTCCATGAAATAATACGGCATGGAAGCCGACGCAGTTTCGAAGAACGGTGTAGAGATTGATTTCTTTTGCCGTGTAAATCGAACGTGTTTCATCGTGTACGATGCGCGCCTCGTCATTAACGGTGCTCGTATTATCGATACCAGCACCGCGGTGACACGGTATTCAAAGCTGGCTTAATCTTTCCAGATAAAGGCGGGCGCGGCGCTATTGCGCTTCACAACGGGAACTCGTTTCGGGCTCTTGCACCAGTTGAACACGAGAAGTCGGCGTCGCAGTTGTTCATCGCGCTGCCTCGAACCGAACCTGTTGAGCGTCTCTTCTTTGCGCGTCGTCCGAACGAACGAACGGTTTTCAACGTACCAGCTATTTCCTTTGTGGCAGCAGCAACACCAAATAAAAGCCCGGCAAAATGAGTTGCGGAATGGGAATGATTAAATACTTACTCTTCATATTCAACTTCATTTTCGCGGTAAGTCCCTTCGCTTTTCTCTCTCTCTAAGCTAATCACAATCGTTTAAAAAAAAAAAAACTTATCTTCACACGCCGTGCAACTTATCGATTCCGTTCGTAATTGTTCCCGTAAATTGATATCATTTTAAACGCGATTTTAATTCGATATCGACTCGGTTCGTTTCGGCGGGGCGGTGTTTCTCGAAACGGTGTTTCCGTTGTTTTGTAATAGACGGCAAGATATGAGCCGTTTATTTTGAAACTGGCATAAGTCGCTTTGTTTCTAAGTCGATATATATATAAGGGTTTGCGTTTTAACACCGTTTAAAAATATGGATGCTAGCTTTCGAGAAGATTTACTTGTATTTGTTATCTCAGGATACCGATATTTTTCTCGGTATAAATAATCTCGTATAAACATTAACAAAATCACCACTTTTCATTACGATAAAGTGACTTATGCCACTTTCAAAATAAACGGCTCATATATTGTTGGTAGGTTACCAATTGTATATCGAACACTGCAATTGCGCAACACGGAGCGCGGCTTTAATTTTTGCTTCGCACGTTCGAGCGCCGACCGTTCGAGTACATACATCTGAATATTAATTAATTCGCTGGTTGCTTCGAGCGAGACGCGCGCGTTTCGTAATTCGAATTTTTCCCGTGATCACATTTCATTCGTAATCCCTTCGTTCTTCGCTCTCGTATCACGATTCATCCCCTTTTTTTTTCGACGAACTCTGTGCACGCCTTTGATTTTTATCGACCGTGTCCGGTGTCAGTGTCGCAATTATTGCACAATAGATAAATCGATCGCCGGCACTAATTTCTGAGTCAACGCATTCTACTCTTTTTGTTCGCCATTTAAACGTACGCCAATGTTAGCCGACCGTGAGTCATGCGATAACGATACTCGTCGTCCGCAAACATCTTTCGCACGTTCGCGAACCGCTACTTTAACATACGTAATATCGCGTGCCCTTCGGTCCCGAAAGATCCTGCAACGAATATTTTGTACACAAGCAGTTTTTTACGCCCCGGAGACATTTAAATCTGTTCTTGGCGAGCTTAGGAGGGGAGGGGGATGATGTCGGCGGAACGAAACATAATAAAAAGCCGAAGAATTTAGCGCGCACGATTATTTATTCGCGACGTGAAATTCGCTATTTAGGTACACTTTCTCGTCGCCTGATCGTCCAACGCGCGTCGGCGATTATTATTTAAAAATGACATTCTCCTCGCTTGTCGCGCGCGGTGAATCGTCACGCGTTAATACATAAATTACCGCGCGAACACGCAACGAACGATTGCAAAATCGTGGCGAACACGGTGGGATTTATTAGAATCTCCAGCGATACGAGCGATTTCTCGTGTTAATTTTCAAAGTGGCATAAGTCGCTTTACCGCAATGAAAAGTGGTGATTTTTCTAATGTTTACACGAAATTATTTATACCGAGAAAAATATCAGTATCCCGAGATAACGAATACAAGTAAATCTTCTCGAAAGTTAGCATACATATTTTTAAACGTGTTGAAACGCAAATCCTTAAATATATCGACTTGAAAACAAAGTGACTTATGCCACTTTCAAAATAAACGGCTCAATTATTGTCTCTAGTTTCTGACGGTTATTCGAAATTTTTATACGTCTCGTTTACCAGTTATTTGACGAGTATACTCGCCATGGAGAACAAAGATGGACAATTTGGGAAGGGGAGGTACGATTAACCCTTTGCACTCGAGCGGTGACTCCGAGGCACCGTTAACCCATTGCACTCGTGGCCAAATTAACGTAAAATTTAAAATAGTTCTCCTGACCCATGGTATTTCCATTTTATGTAATATAGTGCATTTAGAACATACGAACTTGAATTTTGAAACATTTTGAATTGAACATTTTGAAACATACGAACTTGATTAGTAAAATTATTTTGAATCGTGATGTAACAATTTTTAATGGCGCCTCGGAGTCGCCACTCGAGTGCAAAGGGTTAAAACTTGTTATATCACGTTCTAAGATCATTGTTATATTAACAATGTTCAGATTTAAAATATTGTTAAAAGTATAATTGCTGTGCGAGTCGCAAGAGTCAGTGCATTTAGTGCACTTTCAAAATAAACGGCTCAATTAACGTTTCATCATTTTCAGCTTGGTTTATGACAAGCGCGTGTTCCATTTATGATCCTTAAGCGTAGAAAAATCGGCTGTAATTTTGATAACACGTCGCGCGTATTTATACTGTGTACACTGCTTTTCTAATAGTGATAGGAAACTGGGTAAATGTATATCCTTTTCAACTATTAAATAATCGATATACCCTATTCTATTTGTGTCAGTTGTGTGTAGGCACTTCTGTACTCGATTCGACGGAGCTCGTTCCAGCTCAATATTTTATCGCTGTTCCAGCCCGTACGGATATGCGCGTTGTAGACAGTTAGGCGATTTCGGCCGGGACGGTTTCTTTTTTTTTTATGTCACAAGTAATCCAGCTTGCTGGCTGTTTGCACGAATGGAAAATCAATTTCAGTGGTTGCGCATTAGGTGGAAGCGCACGATAAAGATCGAAACTAATTTTCGACGGTACTCCAGGTTACATAAACATTGTTAGACCGTCACCATTCGTCGTTCGCCTGCGCCTGAATGCGCAGAAACGACAATGTTTCTCGCGATATTATGGAAATCGCCCTTTCATTTTTCTTACGTGCAACCGGATTTTTTTTTGGACTGAAGAAAGCAAGGGAGTTTTTTTTTTTAAGCAACTGAAGAAAGTACAGGAAATTCTTCCTAATTCGCGCGCTCGGACTGTGCACAAAAATGGACGATTCGGGGAGGGAGGCTCGGTTTTATGATTGTTGACGATCGGTGACTATAAAAACGAGTCGCAAGTCGAATAATCGTATCACGTAATGATAACAATCGTAATAATCGAATCGTCCAGTTTTGTGTACAAAAGCGTCAATAATAATTATATATATAATGATTATAATTAAGATATATAATAATTGTAATTAATGATATACAATAATTATAATTAATTGTATATACAATTATAATTGCGTCAATTAGGTAGTAACCTTGGGACTGTAACCTCGGCTGACCCTGTAACAAAAATCGCGGATGTAATGTGAAGATATTTATAATTCTTTCGATGTCAGTATACGTAAAACGCATCATTCAAATATCATATCGTCATAGTCTCGGATAGAAAAGTCACAAAGGAACATAATATTCTTATATCAATAATATTGATAAATAATTAATAACCAATAATAATAATTAATACTAATAAATTAATAATCATAACAATAAATAAATAGTAATAGTAATGAATAAATAGTACTAATAATTGATTAATAATCAACAATATATTCTCTATTATATATATATAATAGATATAGATATATATATATATATAATAGAGAATATTGTTGATATATATATATATCTATATCTATATCTATATCTATATCTATCTCTATCTCTATTCTCTATTATGTATATATTCTCTACACTCCAACAAATTATTTCTATTTATCGAATGGTACATGTGAAATTCTTCTTATTCAGAAATAAACAAAATAAAAAGAACAGAAAAATGTCACGCGTCTCCTTCGATAAATATAAAATTAATTTCCAGCGATTGGTTAGCCCACGGTAACCGGCCCCGCTATTCTAGTTTCGTTTCGGAAGGTGGCGCGTGCTTTCGGTTGCCACTTGTAAACCACACGCGCGCCGTATGTTCGCGCGATTTCGTGCGACCTGGGGAGCCGACGATTGGCTGTTAGGAAATCCCGGATGAGACGATGTCGGTGCAGTTTAAAATACGTGAGTCCGAGAGAGAAGAAAAGAGGAAAACCGAGTCAAACTCGCCTCCGCGAGTTTCCTTCGCGCGCTCGTGATTTTCAGCGTGTCGGTTTCAGCGTTCGCGTCTCGTCCTCGGCACTGCCGAGTCATTTTCATTGTTGTCCTTGCGCTGGATCCGCGAGCTTCTTCCATTTCCTCCGAATGAATTGCGCTCTGCCGATCTTGCGTCATCGTAACCACGAATACGAATACGATCAAGATGAGTTGTGTTTCGGGCTGTATCAAGTGGATGCTGTTCATTGTTAACTTCCTGATCCTCGTAAGTACATAATCCGTTATCGATCGGTCGTCGTTCGCTTTTGCTAAACTTTATCGCATAATTGTAAAAGAGATGCTTCGTTCGGTCCTTGCGCGTTCTATCGCAGAAACGCTCGCGTTGCTGGATACTGCTATCATACTGATTTACGCGCGCGCATATGCGCCGATATCACACACGCGCATATACATATATTTTTCACATTTTTCGGCTATTTTTCTCCTATCGAGAAAGCGTATTTGAGATTAGTTCAATTGATGAAAGGCCGTGGAAAAAGTCACAAGTTTCTGATCTTTCTTTTGCTATTTCTGTTACCTTGAAAATTTTTCGATGAGACATTTTCTTGAATAATGAGACATTTTTTTAGATAACAAGACACTTTTTTCGTGCATATGTTATAACAGAAATCGCTTGAATATTTAAAACGTTTCGATCTTGGCAATGTTACAATGCAATGTACAGTAATGTCTCCCTTACTGACGCTCAGATTATGGAGAAAAATGGACAATTTGGGAAGAGCAGATACGATTATTCGAGCCTCGCAGCTCGTTTTTATATTTCTTGACAATTCGTTACTGTGAAAACGAATCGCAAGGCTCGAACAATCGCATCTCCTCTTCCCAAATTGTCCATTTTTGTGGACAATCTGAGCGTCAGTTAGGGAGACATTACTTTACAGTAATGTCAAGACTCAAATTAATTGTATCTCCTCTTCCCAAATTGTCCATTTTTGTGGACAATCTGAGCGTCAGTTAGGGAGACATTACTTTACAGTAATGTCAAGACTCAAATTAATTGTATCTCCTCTTCCCAAATTGTCCATTTTTGTGGACAATCTGAGCGTCAGTTAGGGAGACATTACTTTACAGTAATGTCAAGACTCAAATTAATTGT